CACTACAGACACTAATGGCCTGATTGGAATAGATGCTCAGCATCTCCAATATAAAGCACTGGATACTGCATATGCTTAGCACATCAAATTCTCAAGCTCATTCCTTAGGCACAACTCAGTCAGACTGTCTGTGCCACAGAAAGTCCAAAATGGTGAGCTGGGGAAATGATGCAGTGAGTCCTAAGAAAAAGGAATGATACTACTACTATGATCCATGCACTGCCTCCCTTCAGCACGCCTTAGCCCTAATGATTAAAGATCCAATCTACCCTTCTCTTCACCAGTTGCTTACCAAGAGACGGGGGGCTCTAAGTAGACTTTGAACTTAAGGCCCCGTTCATTCCTTGAGTGTAACTAATTGCTGACAACACACATAAATTAACTGTGTTTTCCTATGTGAGATGCTTACGCTGGCTCATGTAAGTGGTTCAGCATGTTTTTGTAGTTATGGGACAAGACCCTTTGTAATCAAGGCCCCTGCTGCCCACCACAGAGCCCAGGTTGCTCACAGCAGATGGCAGAGAGGCTGCAAGTAACTGCTCCAGGGTCTGTGGAGCCCCAGCCCAGCGCATTGCCAGCAGCGTGTGCACATGTACCTTGAGGCAGACGGTGGGGAAGGGGCTGGGGCTGCACTGCCACAACAAGGATCAGGCACCTTGGGTCCCCCACAATCTACCCTGAGGTGTGTGTGCCAAGCAAAATGCCTTTGTGTGCCACATTCTGGCATGTTTGCCAGGGGTTGCAGCTTACCCCACAGGTATGAGATATATGATAATGGAGAGGGCTTGGGCTTCCTTTACAGAAACAATAGATTTTACAAGTATCATAGTGGAAGAAGTCACTGGACCCTGCCTGAGAGGGTTGTCAAGAGAGAAAAAGTTAAAGATGACTCTGTATTATGGTCTTGAGTGATAAGGATGATGCTGGTGGAGAGATTGTGAAGAGAAGATTTTTGAAGGAAAATCAGTTTGGTTTTGGCCATATAAAGTGGAAGCTGATCATGACGTGTTGAGAAGGCGTTGTGTGGGAGAGCCTGGGATGTGAGATCCAAGAGCGGAAAACATTTACCCATTAAACATGATATTCCTCCAACAAAAAATGTTTTTTTTTCTTTTAACAAAATACACTTTTGGTTTATATTACTGGCTTATATTACTTATATATTATATTGTACTGCTCAGAAATAGATTACCGAAGCTACACTCAGGTCAGCACCTCCTACAAGACACATTATTTGAAGGATATTCCCTAAATACAATTAAAATTAAGGTTCTCCATGTCATCTCCCTCCTGCTTCCTTTCCAGCTTGGATAAGAAGCTTGTTTCCTTACCACTCATTTCCTCTTACTTCTTCCTCATGTCCCTATGATTTTTCCCTTTTACACTATGACAGTACTGCTGAATAGTGATGTTTTTGTGGAACACATCACATTTTTTCAGTTTGAAGTTGACATTATGAATAGCAAGTATGTGTGCACATACGCACACACGTACACACACACACATACTTCCCATCAGTTGAATTATACTTTCAAACGATCAAACTGAAGTGTTTTCTAGAAAGTGTTGCGGAAGGACATGCTAATATCTTTTCAGAAAGCTTATCTTGCTTCATAAAATATAAAGTGGATGAGGTTACTCCTCTCTATCAAGGGTTTGTAAAGCTGTCACTTTTTCTTAATACAGTACCACTCTGCCATCCTGTCCTATAAGACAACAGAAAATTTAAATTTTCCATTTTAAACAGAACATGTTTTTACCAGTTTGTGCATAAATTTTGTGCAAAAAATATATGTCTTTATTCCCTGACTTCCTGTATTAAGGCTTCTAGCCTGAGAGAGGGACTTCCTACTTAGCCCCTACTCAGATTCAGTGAGAAGACACTTTGGGACATTGTGGATAATGGGGCTGCTACCAGGACTAATCAATCCACCACAGACAGAACAGAATTTAGACACTTTCTTGAATATATCAGTTTTTGAATTGTCTAGCATGAATACAGATTTAGGAACACTTTTACTTCTCCTCTGAGTTTTCAGTGTCAACCATTTGCTATTTGGTCATGATGTTTGTTTGTCACGATGATGATGATGTTTACTATATCCAGTAATTGCAGATTCCAGCTTTTTACTTAAATTCTCTGCTGTGCCACTCCAAACAAAATAATTCTTCCTGTGTTATCATGCCATCGGCATTCTGCATCCTATCTCTCCTGCATCCTACCTCTCCTACATCCTCCCTCTTCTCTTTCCTTCACCAATCTCCATCTTTCCATTCCTCTCCTCTCCTCTTGATGTTTCTCATCACTCTTCTCTCGCCATTTAATCTACACACAAGAGTTCAAGGCTCCATGCTGCAAAGCTTTAAGTATTTTTCTACATGTTTTCTCCAGCTGAATTCAATGGGACTACTCATGGGCATAAAGTGACTAATGTACACAAGCATTTGATGCATTGTGAGCTAAATAACTCGCTTAGCTATGAAGATTCAAAACAAACAAGGAAGTACATGATTTGTACACTGAATATCAATACACCAATGTAACCTTCTTCCTGTTACCCTCTCTGCTCAGGGTCAGACCGGTTGCCATATTTGGGGTCAGGACGGACTTTTACCCCATGGTCAGATTAGTATGGACTGCGACAGGTTTTGTCTTCCTCTGTAGCAGGAGGCTGTCTGGGATCTCTGGAACATATAATTACCAACCTTTGCAGCATCAGGATGCTGGTTGCCATAGTCCCTCTGCTTTACCTGTGGCAAGTTAGGATGTTATGCCTTGTGATTGTGTCAGGGTTGACTGTATAGTTTTGCTAAGACGTTAGGCAATGGCTTTGTATAGGATGATTTTGGATAGGGATGATTTTGCCTCAGGCAGGGAGGGTGTTGGACTAAATGGCCTCCAAGGTCCCTTCCAGACCTACTTCTCTATGATTCAATGGTTTTTATTTTCCATCTCCTCTCCCACACTGTTATAATAACTTAATTGCAAACCTCAATTTCTGCAAAGACTGTCATACATGCTTGTTTTTTTGCACCATGGTTCACATTGATTTTAATGTGACCATGCATATGAATGAAACACAGATGTAAGCCAGCAGGATTGGGATCTCTGGCTGTAAACTATGGGGCAGGACCCATGGATTTGATTTTCCCCCATACCATATAAATTTTGTAAATACAGTCTACCTAATCAACAGTCACTTCCAACATAACCTTCTTCCTGTTACCAACTCTGCTTCCATTGCAGACTTTTCAGGACTCAGCAGCACCGCTGTTTCCAGAGCCCACCACTAAGGATGATCTTGGAGAAAATGCCTAATTCAATGACAGCTTTGGAAAAGATAAACAAAGATAACAGGCAAGGGATAGAAAAGGGAAGGAGCAAGGTATAAAACAAAGATAAGTAGATGGTAAATGGTTCTTATAATACCTATGAATGAGGGAAGAGCAGAAAAGAGGACTACTGACAGAACACAGGAGTGGGGATCAGTGAAGGTACATAGGGGTGTGGGGGGATTAAGGCAAGGTATAGAGATAGTGTGATACTAACTCATTGACACCCGGTGTTGTGGCAGCTGAGTTTGGCCAGATCTGAGAAAGGGACTGGACAAATTCTTGGAGGAAAGGGTCATCAGAAGCTATTGAATGCAGTAATTAGGGATACAACTTCCTAGATCTTAAATGCTGGAGGCTGCAAGTGGAAAAACATCCTGGTTCCCTCCATTTCAGCATCCACCCTCCACACTACGGCAGGATGCTGGGCCACATCGACCCATGCCTGAGAGCCAGTACACTGTAGTTCTTGTTTTAAGCTGATGGAAAAAAATCCTTGAGGCTGCTGGGCATGAAAGAAGATACATGAGCAAAAGAAGAGATAAAAGGAGCAGCAGGGCAAGGGGAAGGGGCAAGCTGAGGAGTGTAGGAAACCGATGATTAATTTTGTGGCTGAAAGTTGGAGCCAGAGAAGAGGCAATTACAGCCAAAGAAACAAAGGAAAGCGACGGAGTGAATCAGGGGTTTGGCGGCCGGGACAGAGGACAACAGGTTTTCCAATGGGGCCGGACTGACAGGGACATGAAGCGTCCCACGGACACGGGCTCTTTATTTATCTGTTGTAAAGCCCTAAGACGAAGCGAAGGGAGGGCACGACCAGCCAGGCTGGGTAGCTCCTAACCAGCCTCGAGCAGCGTTGCCCGCTCCCCGGCTCGGTCGCCCCGCGGGCGGGACCGCGCGAGGGTCCTCCCCAGGCGGGGCCGCTTGGTGGGGGGAACGCCCCGCCCCCTGGCCGTTGGGGCGGCAGTTGCGCGGCCGTTGGAGGCGGCCCTGCCGTGCAGTGCGTGTGAGCTCAGCGCGTAGCGACTCTGGAAGCCGCCGACCGCTCCCGCCCCGGCCCAGCCCTGCCAGGCGCCGTACCGCCCAGCTCCGCTCCTCGCCGCCCTCACACAGGCGCGTCTTGCACGGGGCCGGGCGCAGCAGGGTGGCGGCCGTCGCTGCAGAGGTGAGGTACGTGGACGGGCTAGAGGGCCGGAGCCTGCGGCGCTCCCTCCGCCAACGGGCCCGGGCCGCTGAGGGGAGCGGAACGCGGGGCAGGAGCCGGCTCCTCACATTGCTGGAGGGTGAAGTCATCGCGCCCATTGTCTCCCCGCGGCGGCGGCGCAGCTAGCCGAGCCTGGCCCGGCCCGGCCCGCGTCGAAGTGTGCCCCCCGGGGGGCTGGGAGAAGAGTTGAGTACGGGCCCTGCTCCCGGGCGGCAGCGCCCTCGGCTGAGGCTGTAGACGCCCTGGAGTCGCGCAGTGATTTGTCCAGGGTGTGGCGGCGGGGGTGGGGGGCGACGGGCCAGGCAACCAGCCCTGAGACCGGTGTGTGCCTGGGGACCCCCCACCTTCAGTGTAGGGCGAGGGGCCGGGCCCCTCCTTCCTCTCTCCGCCCCCCCTTCAAGCCGCCGGCTCGGACTGTGGAGGAATGCGGCTTTGCCGGGGCTGAGATATCAAAGTTGGGGGCCGCGGTGTTTATCCAGGCTTTCCTGCCTTTATTACCATGTGGCTAGACAACCGGCTGTGGCTTTTAACCACCCCTTGGGGTTGATTAGCGCTTTCTAGTTCCTCAAAATGCCGGGTTATTCACCAAGGGCAAGGTGAAAAAGGGGAAGGGTATTTATGTAATCAGGGAGTTGCGGGATTGAATTCTGCCATCGATCAGAGCCTCATGTTCTCTTAATTTATTTCCACACGTCTTCCACATTTTTTATTTTGTAATGGCAGTGGAAGGTCTGGACTTAAGGTATCCCGTGACCTGTTTCTCACTTTGCCTTTGGCAAAGGCAGGTTTTTAGTTTTATATTTGGAATGAAAGGTTCTATCTAATTTGGGTTTTTTTGTACATCTGACTTGTGACTCAAACCTGAGGGATTCAGACTGGCTTATAAATCAGAAATCATGTGGACTAGCAGAATTCATTTGCATGTATGAAAGTGATGGGCAATGGAAAGACGGAACTGTTTGCTGAAATGTGACTGTATGGAGCTGTGAGACTGTTTTAAGCAGTTTGAAGCAAGTGTGACTTTGTTGAGCAGTAGAGAAAGCATTTATGTATTTGACACTTGCATTTCATGAGCATTAGGTCTGTTTTGCAGTTAACTGAGACTGGAAAATGAAAATAAACTAGCCCGTTTCACTTTCTCTTGCCATAACAGTAATTCTGCTGCTCTTTGGAAATTAACTATTCCAGAAAAAGGCCTGCATTAAGAAACAAAATAAGAAACCCCCACAATTTTTCTTGACATGAGAGAAACCTGCAGACTTTAAAACTCCGTTTTTGGATAAAATACAAATATTTAACGTGCCTTTCTAAATTATCTGAAATGCCAGTGCATGCTCATGTTCTGCTTATTCTCAACAATGTTTAGATTTGAAGAATGGATGACCTGTTCAGCTTTTTCTTTTAAATCTTAAAAGCAGAAATTTAAATATCTGGACATTATTGTGTGCTTTTTGGACAGTTTGATGGGAAATTATAGAAGTTTTTACATACAAGAGTTAACAGAACTCTTAAATTCCTAGTCAGTGATGTCAGAAGGAGAGAAGGTATTTGACAGAAGAGTTTTGTGTGCCTGTATGATGCAGACAAGTCTTGGCCTCTGGGTTAACCAGTGAAGCAGCTTAACCATCCTAGCTAGGGATTCCTAGATGAAGTTTGTCTGTGTGTGGTGGGTCAGTGGTAAGATTCGTAGTTTTGTGTGATTTGTATTATGCTATGGCAAGTGCAGAAAATTTTATGGTTTCCAGTATAAGGCAGGTAATGATGAGTTTCAGAAACTATAATATAGATTGTTCTCTTCATATTATTTTTTCAGCAGATTGTTTTTCTTTCATACAAATTTTGATCTTTTCTCCCCAATTAGTCTTACAGCGTTCATAAAGATTTTTTTTGTATCCTAGCTGGAAGTGCAGGATGACATCTTTTCCTAGACTATTGAATCCTGCTTTGAGGCTTCTGATGAGCAGCTTTGAACTCCCAAGTGCAGGAGCTACTTTTCTGCACCCATGTTGTCCTGCGACCAAGGACATTGCCCCTATTTTGTGGTTGGTTTACTGTGATCTGTGTTTGGAGGTCCATAAATTACTTGCTGAATTATAATGCAATGTCCTGTTGGTTAGCCACCAGATCTAGCAGAAGAAATTTTAATAATTGTCTAATATCCTGTTTTAGTCATACTGTGCACATTTAAGTTTCAAAGTTTTTGGTCTGATTCATAGTTTCTAGAGGAGACAGTTCAAATTGATCCTTAGGGTTAATAAGTTTTTAGAGGACCAGTGCTAATGTTTGTGCTTATGTTGTTTTACTCATAAGGAAGTTAAATTCTGTTTTTTCTCTCTGTTTGTTTGTTTCAGCTGTATTTTGTCACTAACAGAAGATGTGCAACTGACTGAACTGACACACGCACAGCTTCAAGAGGCCGAGAATGATATTAGATGTCCTCTTACTAGATGCACACAAATTATATGTGGAAGTAGAATTCAACCAGGAAGGTAATGAGACAGTTTGAGTTTGCTGTTGTATTAATGGGTTATTTGTACATATTTTATTTTTTCTTCTAGGGTATGAAAATACCTAGAAAAATATACATTTTCTAGTATATCTTGGTAAGAGGTGTTTCTTTGAATCATACATATTGGTATTCATAAGCTGTATCTGTAATTTGTCCTGTTGGTAGTTTTCAGTGTTTGCTTTTCAATCTAAGGGGAAAACTTTTTGAGAGCGCTAAATTTCAGGTATAACATTTTAATCTTATGAACAGATTAGGTTTCCCATGCACTGCTACATAGCAAACTAAAAATACAAAAATAGAAATAAAATTTTGTAAATGAAATAAATATTAATCAGTTATCACAGCTGTTCAACTTTGAGTGGCTGGGGGCTGCACATGTGCCAGGCCTACACTGGACGGGCTGCCTTCCATGCTGTCTAGTGCCACGCTGCACTGTGCAGGGCCACGCCTGAGCTGCTGGCTCCTTGGGCCCTGGGGTCTGAACTGCCCTGCCCTGTGCCTAGGGGTGGGGGCAGGAAACTGAAGCTAGAAAAAGGAGAAGGGGGCATAGAGACCCCGGTGATGGGTAGCAGCTAGAATGTTGTGGTGGGGAGATGGAGGACTAGAAGACCCCTACAGGAACTTCCAACCTTAAAGACCATTGTTTAAAAGGAAAAAATATATTTTATGTCAACCAGCCAACTTCAGTACTCTTCCTATCAGAAGTAAATGCTTGACAACATTATTAAACATTAATATTTAATAGACCCATGTTCTAAATTGTTTTGAAAGTTTTCAGTAAAAGTTAGCTTGAGGATTTTTAACAGCTATTTTCATTAGCTTTCTGTAGCAATGTAGTACACAAGCAGGTTTTGTGGAAACATGTTGAAGTCCATTGCTGATGTTTTTATTTGTTGATAAACTTGCTTCTAAGTTTGAATTTTTGTGACCTGACTGTGATTACGCACAAAATGTTCTCCTACTCTGTCAAACTGGAAGCAGCCATTTGTAATGAAGGCTTTTTAACTGCCTGTGTCATTGGACAAGTTGGTTCATTTCTCTGTGGTACTCTCTTACTGTTTGTTGCGTTCTGGTGGTCCTTGTAGCTTCTCTAGTTGTAGTTTCTGCTTTCATTTTATTTTTTAAGTGCTACACTGGCACACTTTATATATTATTTCCTTTTAGTGCACTTTCCCACCTGCTGGCTCAAGAATAAAAAGCAAAAGAATGGAAGACTTCCAAAAAGGAGTTATAAATGTATTGTGTATAAGTAGCACATTACAAGCCTCAGTTACAGACTTTTTTACATGGTGTACACTCAGGCAGCCTTTTGGAGGAGTCTCCTTAGTCTCCATTGAGCCTGTTGTCTGTGCTCCTTCAGAATGTCTTCAGGAGAAGACACTTAGCCCAAAGCCCATCCTTCAGCTGAGATATTAGAAGGGCAGATGGAATTAAGGGAAGAAATAGTATCTCAACCAGACCCTTAACAGCTGAGCTATGAAATGTCTTCTGTGCATTTACAGCAAAGTAAACTGTTTCTAGCAATCAAGCTATTCCTTGAGTCTACTCCCTTTTTCTGACCTTAATGGAACAAGCAACTTGCTTCTAAGAAAGGATCCTACCCCACGTTCACCTGGGGTTCATGGAAGCAGAAAAGGCTAAAATGCTTCTGTTCCTTTCCTTCTTTTCAAAGAATGGAGAATTCTGTAGTCTCCTTCCTGTAAAAATATAAACTAAGAATTTGACTCAGAGGATTGACTGCCACATGACACATCATCTTTCATTAAGCAAGCAGCTGAAACAGTTCAACTACAACCTTCCCAACAAAGTAAAAAGAGCTGTCAAAGGATTTTTTTCCTGAAAGATGAAAATGAGAACAAATTCTTGGATGTTCACTCATTTTCTGAATAATAACTTGTGCTGGATTTCCAGCACATAATTGCTGTAACCAAAGCATGCATCAAAGGCATTTAAGAGAAATCCTAATAGTCAAGTTATACAATTGTTTCCTCAGGTTCGAAAACTTTCTCTTTAGAGATCAGAGTAGCACTTAAAGATATACTTAACAAAATCACTGAAGGGGGGTACCTTACAGGAATCATGAGCTAGCATCAGCTCAGTTGATTATACCTACCTATCCATTTATATTTACTGAGCAGTTCTCCCCTGGATGGAAGCTTTCTTTTATCCAAGTAAAACATAAAAAATACTCTTCAGAATGCAACTGGCCTTTAATGTAACAAATGTTATAGACTAGGACTTTTTAAACTTGTTGGACAATGTTAAAGCTATTTCTTTTGGAATAGTGGATTTTTTGGACTGAAGGATCTGGAGGGTTTTTTTGTATGTTTGTTTTCTAAAACTAAACTAAAGCTTGGGTTTCAACCCTTCCATAGCCCCATATATTTTGTGCAGAAACTATAGAATATGCCGTCATTGCTATTTCAGAAGAGAGCTTTTCTTATCCATGGCTTCACTTCCAACAGAATGTATTCTTGAAGATTTGAGTCTAAACTTGGAGCCATGCAAAATATGAAGAAATTGTATCCTTTGTCCCTTTTCATAAGTCATTGGTATCATTCCTTCTCAACCCCTACCTCCTTCCCACTCCAAATCCCTTAGCCCTTAAGTTTTCCACTTAATGAACCAACAAGTTAACTGAGCTGGCATATATTCAGATCAGTAATACCTTATAGTTTTGAGGAAAGACTATTTTACAGAATTTGATGCACAGGCTTTCCACAAAAGTGTAGCTCATTTCTAGTGCCCTCCAAATACGGAAAACTTTCTTGAAGTTGTCAGACCTCCAAGGCAGTATTTCAGTCATGCTCCTGTTACCACACCAAAGTTTTCTAGGGATCAACCTTATCATGTTTTTGTTTTCAGAGTTACTGTTCTTCAGGATTGTTGCGGAAAAAATGCAGATTTTCTCCTTTAGAGGGGAAAAATGTGGGAAACCATGGGTTTCCCCTTGTAGGCTGGCAGAGTTCCAGCCTGCAAGGGGCAACTTGGGGGTGGGGGGAGCGGATGCAGGGGGAGCTAAGTCCATATGCATGTGCACACTTGCACATGGCAGGAAGGCAGTGTGTTGGAGAGCAGCTCCTGTAGTTCCCTCCAGGTAAGTCTATGGAGGGGGGGAGATGTGAGGGAGTGTGCACAGGCGGTGTGTTTGTGGGGGGGGGCATGTGCCACCCCTGACCCCTCCACATGTCTTCTGTGCCCACCGACACCCCCCACACATCACCTGTGGCCCCCCATTCCCTGCCAATGCATTATCTCTGCCCACACACCCCTTTCCCCATACACTCATCTCCATTCTTATACAGTGAGGGGGGGATGGGGGACTGGGTCATGAGTGAGGGGCATCAAGGTGAGGGTTCAGCAGGGCTGGGGAAGATGGGTGGCTATGGGTTGGGGTGAGGGGCAGGTGCAGGGCATTAGCATATTAGGGCAACTC